AATGGCAATCAATAGACTGACATCAGATCTTGACTTCATAAATGCTTTTAAAACACTTTTTCAAAGATCTGATTCCAAATACCACGTGTTAATTATTAGTGGAAAATATTTAAAAAATCAAAATTGTTCAAGGACTCCAACACCTTGCGAAGCCTTAAAAAAACTCATTGCATAAGTGCTTTGCTTTCAAGCTGTAAAATTAGTACACATTTTTCACTACTTCAATTATTGACAAAATATAACCTTTGTTGAAATGGCTTAGAACTGTCATCTCTAGCATCTTGAGCTAAACCTTTGCCCTTCGTATATAATCGATCTCTTGAAATTTATTTCATCCTTGAATTGAATGCTTGGACAGATGTCTACGTTTCAGCGTTCTCCAACCTGAATTAGGGAGACATACCTACCTCTTGCCAAATATTTTTGTGAGAATTTGGTCGCAATAGTTTTCATGTCGAGGTATATAGAAAGTCGTACTGACACAGTGTTAATTATTTAGAAAAAAAAGTAAATAAAGTTGGAGTACCACAAGGTTCCATTTTGGGACCGTTACTATTTTCAGTACATATCAATGATATGAAAGCAGCTCTGCAACATAGCTTGCTAGTACCTACTCTATGTTGATGATACCACTTTTTAAAACAGTAATGATAACATGAATAATTTAGAAGCCGTAATGATGAAAGCAATGTCTGATTCAGTAGAACAATTCACAGCTGAAAAACTTAAAGTTTTCAATTCACAACCTAGTTTATATAGAGTTTTTAGGTAAGCTAGAAGGCGAGAGATTATAGGGGTTGCCAAACTTAAAAATTCAAGAGTGGAGACCTACATTGGTCGAGTTGCTCGTTTAGGGTTATATATTTCGGGTTTTTATTTGATTCATTAATTTCTATGGCTTCCAACAAATTCATTTCCTGTCCTTTATTACATATGTGTAGGATTTTGAGGTTATCCTCACTTATCTTGTGTTTTGATTCTTGTGATTCTGTTTGAAAATCAGTTTTTCCGTTAACCAGCCGTCGCACCCCTACGAACGACAACCCTCAGAAGTAGAAACTAGTACGAGCTAAGGATTAACGTGGTCTTACCTTTTAACGTGTGATTCGTAACACAGATTGGACATCTTAGGCCAGTTTGCTTTTTTCCAAATGGTACGTGAAAATTGTTTTTTGTCAAGTGTCGAGATTATATTTTGTTTTATTCAATACAAATATTTCTTTTTCATTCGTGAAAACATATAAGGATAAGTAAAAAACTGAAAGACAAGGTACAGTCAAAAATTAAAGCCATTTCGAAGCATTTCTACAAGAATCACGAACATTCAAGTTAACAATTAAGCGTAATACTGTTTTCTGAGAAATGAAGACATCAGTCCATCTGCAGAAGCCAATTGCGTACTTTAGTATGGAATCAACCTGAGCATAGTATATCTGTAATAATTTTTTTATCGTGTTTAAGTCAAAGTCGAAATATGCTTTATTGTCGGAAGATTCATATCTTATTGACAGAGCTTGGTTGAATTAATTAAATAAAAAAACGAACAACACAATTACACATATTAGCTATCGCTGCTTAGTCATAAAGTTTATTGTATGATTTTTCACTATAAAAAGGGTTTACAAAAACCGCGACACGTGTTTCCGACACAACCGCGACACAATAGCTTCCTCAAGCGTAAAGTATTAGTTTTAATATGGATTTTCTTCAAGTATCGGCCAGTTCTATTGAATTAGGAATGATATCCATTGAAAAAGGAAAAAACTATGACAGAAATGAGAGAAAAAAATACTTACGGGCGATTTGACGTCGGGAATTGGAAAGGGGTGACTTTTTAAGGGTGGAAAACGGTTTATCGCGATTTCCGTCCCATCGAAAGTCCCATCAAAAAAGATAGAATGGCAAAGTTGTATAGGTAGGTAATAAAAAAATCAACAACGATTGTATGTAAAATTTTTTCACGTAACTTCAAAATAAAGGTACGAAACATCCAAAACACCGACTTTTTGGCTTTTTCTTTTCATCTCCTACAAAAAAAAACACCAAGTTTGGTAAATACTTACTTATTATTTCTAAGGTTG